GACTCTCTCAAGCCTCTCCACATCCTTTTTGAATTGTGGAGCCCAAAACTGGATGCAGTACTCCAGCTGCGGCCTCACCAAGGCCGAGTACAAGGGGAGAATGACATCCCGGGATTTGCTTGAGAAGCATCTATGGATGCAAGCCAGTGTTTTGCTCGCTTTACTAGCCGCAGCATTGCATTGCAGGCTCATGTTCATCTTGTGGTCAATGATGACCCCCAAGTCTCTTTATTCCATAGTGCTAGCCAGCATAGCAGTGCCAAGCCTGTAAGGATGCTGCAGGTTTTTCCTCCCAAGGTGGAGAACCTTATATTTGTTTCCTCCCAAGGTGGAGCAGGCCTGCCACAAACTAAGCCCCACACCTTCCCTGAGTGCCACTCTGTTCTGCTTTCCCTGACTGATCAGCTGCTGTGCTCCCTGCTCCTTCCTCAATTTGCTATGTGTCACACACACAGGCTTCCTTGCCACTTGCAAGTTGACCACCCCCTAAGCTTTTTCACAGTTCTGCCCCAACATAGCTATGTTAGCAACACTTGTACTATAGACCAAACCTTATATTTGCATCTCTGAAGAATTTATGCCTGGCCACACGATGGCAGCATCCACTCATGTTTGAAACAGAAGAGCCCATATCTAGCAATACAATACAGGTTTCAGTAGTGCCTATGATAGACATAAGGATAAAGAAATCCATTTATGATAGTGGTTCAGTACGTTATGAAATCACAAACAGTGGATGTATGCATCTATGTGTGTACATATAAAAACTATTTTTGATAGTGTTGGCATGACATCTAAGCTGTGATGGCTCAGGAATAATGCAAGAGGCAAGGATTTTTTGGGGCAATATCTTCGATTAGACCAATTATATGATTGGAATAAAGTCAAACAAGTTTTGATTGCTGGGTGTTCTTCAAGTCACTCAGTGCAGACCTGATGAATGCCTTGCATTCAAAAGCTTATCTAATTCCCAACCATGCAACTGGTGTAGTAAAAGATATCACCCAAAAAATCCTTGCCTCTTACATATGAAACCTGTGATTTCTCATATCTATTTACTAAATGTATTACAATGACAGTTATCACTTGGTTAGTGAAAACAGGCTGCACAAGAAACATTCTCTGAGCAATAAGTAATGTAAGTGTTTTATAATGGTTCAAAACCTGTTGTCTTATGAATTTTAATACAGTGATGTGGCTTGCAACTGAATTTCTCCTTAAAATCACCAGACCAACCTCATCTTCATCTCACTTCATAGCATCTGATAAAGCAGGCTATCACTTATGAAAACTTAAGCTTCCCCGAACTTGTTAGTTTTGAAGGTACTATCCTGCTTGGCCTTTTCCCTAACTTCAGACTAACATGGCTAACCACCTCTCTCTTCACCTCTTCTGAGCAAATTTAGCAATCCTCAAAATAAGCATGAATTTCGCCTTAGACCTAAGCTTCTGCTGGCTAAGGCCAGACCCAATACTGGTTATTGGCAGATTTTTAGACATCACAGTGCAAACCTGTAAATCTAACAGCTAGCTAACTATGGAGGTGTCTAAACTCATCAGCAGAGATCTGGGTTTTCCATTCGCTGTGGAAAAATGTGGATTTTCTCATCTGAAGGAGAAAAATGCAAATTTTCTTCTTTAAAGGAGAAAATGCAGGAAACTGTGGGTTTCCCCTTGCAGGCTGGCAGCCTTCCAACCTGCAAAGAGCTGTTTGGGGATGGAGGGAGCAAGGGAAGGCTATTGGAGAAGAGGCACCACCTTCATGTATGTGGCTGGCACACAGCCAAGTAGGGCGGTGGTGGAAGCAGTTCTGGCAGCCAGATGCAGGTAAGTCTATAGGAGTGGGGGTTGGAGAGCCAAGGCTTGGGTACTGTTTGGGGAGCTGGGGGGGAGGGGCTGTGTGTGTGTGTGTGTGTGTGTGTTT